TTCTTGCCATCCCAAAGTACTGAATAAGCACTGACATTCTAATCTAGTGAATGTGTGCTTGGTTTAATAGGACTAGCAAGGAAGTAAGATACTTACTGATTCTTACTTACTGATCAAGACATGCAAGAGCTGAATAAATTAGCACATGAATAGCACTGAGATATTATTTGCTGCTTTGTGCTTGAACCTTGGAAGTTGACCCCGGATACCTTAGAGAAAAGAGGCCCAATTTATCAAGAACATGTAAAATAAGATCATAAACTAAACTTGTGTTGATTCTAAAAAAAAAAAACCCTGAATGCTTGCCCACCTTTGCCCTTGTGATTGTTTGATCCTGCCCACCCATGTGGCAATATGAAATAATTTATTTTTTAAGGGGACACATTACTACAGGTGTGCAGTCAAATAACTTCTTAAGTGTATGAGTATCTATGGAGATTCTCAATCATCCAGGTCATCCCAAAGATGCTTTTTTCACAAGGCAACTGGACTTTCTTGTTTTTCTCTTTGAAGACATTTCTCTTCCCATCCAAGAAGCTTCTTCAGCTCTGACTGGATGGTGGGGGAATGGAAGGATTTATACTCCTTGCAGACAGCTGGTCATTTGTATTCTTTTAGAGAGTCATTGATGCCACCTGGAGGTTTATTTATGTCATCAGGGTCACCTGAGTGGTGCAAAGGAATGTGGAGCCTTCTGAAACCGTTGAAATGACTGTGTTGTAGACTGAAGATAGATGATGTTGTATCCCTCCCGCTCTGTTGAGAGAGGGCTGTTCAGTTTTGACATAGAGTAGATGGCCTCTTAGACCCCTCTATCTTCTGTCTACAGTCCTTTCAGCAGTTCCAAGAAGGCTCCACACCCATTTTCACTACTCAGGTGGGATAAGTGTATGAATAGGGTAAGAGCAGCTTTTCATAGCCCAAACCCTCTCAGCTGCAAATGTGTTCTGCAGAATTAGAACAGCTAATGAGCTCAAGAGAAACAGTGCTTTCTTCATGTTAATGATCCATTACACAAGACTGGATCTTCGCTCTCTCAGACTCCTGTAACATAGAAAATGACTGATCTATTGTCTGGAAAAAAAAAAAAAGGAATGCAAATCTGGCTAAGGAAAGACAATATTTTTTTTTTTTTTTTGAGATACTGCAAGTGAGTGGCATCATAGATCATTTTTATTCTTCTTTTGCCTCTTTTATTTTTGAAGAGGTGGTGTTGTTTAAATGCTGTAAAGATCACTCATGTCACAATTTTTATTGTGGGAGGATGTTCCAAATGGACAGTGCTGGGATTCCCAGCTTTCTGCAGATGGTGGGGACTGAAAAGCGATACACATGTATTGAATCGATTGAAGCTTGACGTACCTATTTTTTAAAATTTATTTTTAATTTTTTGGCTAATTCCATTTTTAAAAGTGAAACACGACACCAGTATAATTCTGAAGTTTCTATTTCAGAAGCCTTTGGGGCCATTAAAAAAAAAAAAAAAAAAGCCGGGTGGCCATGGAGGATGGTCTATCCAAAGACATCTGCAGCAAGATGAGTTTTCATTAAAATGATGCAATTTGCTGAGGTCACCACACATGTATAAAAAAGGCAGGGATAACATGACAGAGTTATGTGGTTGGTAGGCATCCTTTGCCTTGCCTGCAAATGCATTAGACCACATTGCCTTTTGAAAAATACACAATGCAAGAATGGATACTTGTCTCCTCTTCCAATGTGCAAGTAAAATTGGATGGATATCCATCAGACCATTTAGTAGTAAAACATATGTTAAAGGCATTACATGTAACCTTTCTGCACCAGTAACCTTTGGCCCATCATTCCTATTTGCAAAATATATTATCATTTGATTGCAATCAGGAAATTCCCTGGGTTTTCCTTTTATCACCAGAAAGAGCCTTTTTTTTGGCTCAAATATATCCATGTTAATATTTAAAAAAACAACAATGATTGCAGATGGAAAATAACCTCTTTCTGTCAAAGGAAAAAAAAACCCACATTCCTGTTCCCATAGATTAAGTTAATGCTGCAGCAATGGGTTTTTATCTGCCAAAATACCAAACAGGTCAGGCATCTGGGTCGAAGCAATTGCAATTGGAAATCTCTAACAAACATAGGATATCAACAAAGGAAGAGAGAGAGAGAGAGAGAGAGAGAGAGAGAGAGACTTCAACCAATAGCAACACCAAGTTAACTTTTGACGGTTGGTAGAAAAAGGATGGAAATCTGAAATGTACTTTGTAGGCAGCCCAGTGAGAGGTCATCAGCAAGTCGCATTGCTGTGGGCATGACCAGGAACTTCAACAACATGCTGTAAAGAAGAAGCCATTCCAATGTCAGATGCCAATTGCCAAGGAGAACATCTGGGCTCCAAGATCTCAGTCAGTTAAAGAGCTAATAGTTACACTGGATGGACCAAACCTCATCTGGTGTCCTGAACTTGCAAGCTGGTCTTGGGGAGGTGTGGCAGCCATGGAAGATCAAGACCATTTCTCTGGTATGGATAATTTATATCAGAGCTACCAAACATGCTCGTCAAGAATCTAAAAGACTATGGGGTGCTTGCAAAGATACTTTGCATCCTTTCTTTGCTGCCATCTAATGGTTTGTGGCCAAGACTTATCTAAAGTCTGCTTCCTCATATTGCTATACTATCTTCTTTCTTTCTTTCTTTCTTTCTTTCTTTCTTTCTTTCTTTCTTTCTTTCTTTCTTTCTTTCTTTCCTTTCTTTCTTTCTTTCTTTCTTTCTCCTTCTTCTTCTTCTTCTTCTTCTTCTTCTTCTTCTTCTTCTTCTTCTTCTTCTTCTTCTTCTTCTTCTTCTTCTTCTTCTTCTCTTCATTGTTAATTATTATCTTACAAAGCCTTGAAGTCTGAATTAAGAAAATTATTTCATGCTAGTACTCTGCTTCTTTGTCTCTCTCTGTCTCTCTCTGTCTCTCTCTCTATCTATCTCTATCTATCTCTCTATCTTTCTATCTTTCTTTCTATCTATCATCTATCTATCATTATCTATCTGTCTGTCTGTCTATCCATCCATCCACATCTGTCTGTCTGTCTGTCTGTCCATCCGTCCGTCCATCCATATCTATCTATCTATCTATCTATCTATCTATCTATCTATCTATCTATCTATCCATCCATATCTATCTATCTATCTATCTATCTATCTATCTATTTATCTATCCATCCATATCTATCTATCTATCTATCTATCTATCTATCTATCTATCTATCTATCTATCTATCCGTCCATATCTATCTATCTATCTATCTATCTATCTATCTATCTATCTATCTATCTATCTATCCATATCTATCTATCTATCTATCTATCTATCTATCTATCTATCTATCTATCTATCTATCTATCTATTTATCTATCTGTCTGTCTGTCTGTCTCCACTTCTCTAAACAAATTGTCTCGTTCCTCTATGGATACCCTGCTGGTCCTGCAGCAGATTTTGAACAGATTTGATATTTGAAAAATAGAAATAAAATAAAGACCTGATTAGAAATACAGTTGCATAGAGGGTAGAAAATCTATCCATAGTTTATAGGAAGTATAGTGTCTAAAGACACCGTTAGTTTGAATACTCAACTTAAAAAAACCCTTCAGACAAATAATCTTTTTGTAGACCCTTAGATTTGTTCTCTCCAGAACAATATGCTCTTACTCATGAAAGTGCTCTATTTTAATGATTGACCAAATGTTATATTACTGTTCTTTCACCCAGATTCACATGGCATATAACAACACCAAGGGGAAAGACTATCACAAATTTAATAAGCTGCTAAAACATCTTGACTATGAAAGATAAATACTGTCCTAATTAAGTGAACAGTAATCTAACACTTTAGGGGCTCTGCTTTCATAGCAAATGTATCAAATTGTAGAAGGTTTATTTCATTCCCCTTTATATAAATATATATTTTTTTAAAAAAAAATTGGAAAATAAGCAAAAATGCTATTGGGAGGAGCAGAAGAAGAAAAAATGGATTCTTTGTGCTAACATTCTCCCCAGCACTTGCTTCTTCTCAGATGAACTCCATGCTAAAATGTGAACGTTGCTGATTGATAAAGATGCCCATATATCTGTTTCGTTTTGAGCTATGAAGCCTGTCTAAATAACCCTATACTCTGGAGGGTAGACTGCTGCTTTGGGTAGGTAAGCACTGCTGTTTTTGGACCATTGCCATTGTCAACTGTTGTTTTCATCTGCAACTGAAGAATCAGATCCGTGGGAGAGTCTTGTAAAAATGCAATCCTGACATATTTGGTAAAAAAGGCTTTGCAGAACCCAGCTCAGCTGCTCCGCTGATAGTTTTTCAAGGTGACTGCTTGCCTGCCTGTCTGCCTCTAGAATGTGGCACTGATATTAAAGCCAGAAATTGAAATACAGAAAAAAGGCAGCTGTATATTTTCTTCTATGGCTCTCATGCATTTTTAACAAAGTCTTCACTTAATGCAGAAGACTTCAGTGATCCAAGATTAATTTCACCCCACCCCCAAAAATGGATGCACTGAAGGAAACTACACAGACGTTTGAAAGGTTTTTTTTTTTTTTTTTTTTTTTTTTTTACTTTGCGGGGATGATAGAAGGAAGATTTTATAAGAATGGCAAAGCGAAGCAACAGAGCCGGGCAGCTGCACCATGTCATTTTGCTTGCCAGTCGCGGCTTCTGTGCATATGCAGAAGGCCCTGTTTGGGAAGCAATGAGGCCAATTGAGGCAGAACATCCAAAGGCAGAGACTTGGCTCTGTACAAAAAAATAAAATAAAAATGCCAGGTGAATACAGGACATAACAAGGCCTGACACTGGAGAAAAGAGAGAAGAGGAGAAGGGGAAAAAAATGATTTGGTTCAGGATTTGATTTTCTTCCAGATTAAAAAAGAAAGAAAGAAACAAAACAAAACTTGTGAAAATTAGCCATTTTTTTTTTTTTAAATTACAGATCTTCCCAACGAGTCTATTATCAGCTTGCTCTTTGGCTCTAAAATGGAAGATCTTTTATTTTAAAAAGAAAAATTATCTGCTCTGTCTCATGACCCTAAGCATAGTTGAATATGAAAGGATTCAAATTCAGAATTTAATGAGCATTTAAAGTGTTTTGCCAGGATGGAAGAATCTTTTCGGTTTTAATTCCACTCCACTCTGTTTAAAAATACAAACAAACAACAAAAACACCCTCTTCCAAAGTTACTTCAGTTTTATTTATGACAAAATTTGCCAATTGGAGTAAATAATAAACATTTTAAAAAATCCTATAGGTTCTTAATTCAATAGCCACCCCACTCTTTTCCATATTAGTTCTGCTTTTACAAAGGCAGGGTGGACAACCTTGAATGAACTGGGACTAGTCCTTGAGAAGGCTTTGAGTGTTTGAGGTCATATTGCTCTAAGATTCATCTTCCTCCAACATTTGGAAAGCCAGTATCCTGGGAGACACCATTTTAAGACATTCCCCCAAAGAGTCACCTTCAGTGGTGGGATTCAAATACCTGAACAACCAATTCTTTGCAGGCATGGGCATCTGAGGCCTAGAATGGACTTCCAGAAGTGGCATCCACACATTTCCAGTGGGCCGTTCTACACCTGGGAGGCCTCCTCCAGGCCTCCGAGGCCTAGAATGGACTTTTGTAAGTGGCATCCACGTACTTCCGGTTTGCCATTCTAGTCCTGGGAGGCCTCCTCCAGGCCTCTGAGGCCTAGAACGGACTTCCAGAAGCAGTGTGCACTCAGCTGGTTCTCCAAACTCCACCGGTTCTGCTGAATCGGTGCGAACCAGCTGAATCCCATCACTGGTCATCTACCATCACTAATCTTTTCTGGGCAAAGAGGCCTCAGTAGGAACAGCTTGAAGGTGCTTAAAGGTTTGCTATCTCCACCTTTAGTGGTTCCTTGCCTTTTTGAAAGGAAGAGAGAAATGGAGGCAAATCCAGTTTCCCCCAAATGATATACAGATTGTCCAGTTCATTTGAGGACCATTCAAAGCTACAACAGCACTGGGAAAAAGCGACTCCTGACCCTTTTCACACTAATGATTGTTGTGACTTCCCCGTGTGATCAAAATTCAGGCATTTTTGCAATGACTCATCTTTATGACCATTGCAGTTTTTCACGTGATAGAAGACGATAGAAATTTGGGCCTCAATCATAGTCGTAAGACTACCTATATTCATAATATATTTATACTTACAAAAGTATAAAGTCACTTGAACCATTATCAAGAGTTTTGACAAACCGCTGTTTGTTGGTGAACCATTGATGAAGGTTTTGGAGTTTTTTAGGAGTGGGTCTCTCAGAAAGATACATTTCTTTTGTCCTTTGCAATCATTCTCTTTAATCTAAACTTTCTGTAGTATCAGCTATATATGACAATTGTTTCATAGTGGTGTCCAGATATATAGATCAGGCTAAAAGGAAGGAAATATAATATTGGCATAGATAGAGATAACTCTTTTGCAATTTCTTCATTGGTATAACCAAAAAAGAGAAACCAAATATGATTAAAGCAATACTTAATCAACTTATTTGTCAAGATTCTTTTTTGACGTGTTAATTTTTTTTAGCTAACACTATTTCCTAGCTTTTGAAATACCACTGATCCAGAGAAACATATATTATAGCGTTCAACACTTTTGCAATAGAAAATTTGACAGCTAAACAACAAAAATGAAATCATTTATTTGTGTTACACCATACTATGTGTCCTGGGGAAAAAAAAATGAACGATAAAGCTAAATGAACATTAATTATAAAGACCACAGTGAAACTTTTCCAATTTCCACAAAAAAATAAAATGAAATAAAATAAAATGAATCAAGACAAGTAACTAAATGGCACATGGGATTTTTTTTAAAAAAAAATGGGAATGACAACTGAGTGATAAGTCAAGATTTTATGAAAGTGTGTATGTATGAGTGTGCGTGCATATACGGTATGGCTCAACCAGATTCAGTAAAATAATGATAATTACCTGCAATAAACATGTAACTGCTTGACAATCTACATCACCTTTGAAAAGAATTTTAACAGGGCAGTTTCTGTACTTGGGCATTAAAATAGCTTTTTAAAAATAATCATGTTCAGATATTTTTATGCTGCTTCGTGTGTGTGTGTGTGTGTGTGTGTGTGTGTGTAGTATAGAATAGAATAACAGAATTGGAAGGGCCTTTGGAGGTCTTTTAGTCCAACCCCTTACTCAGGCAGGAAACCTTATACCATTTCAGACAAATGGTTGTCCAATCTCTTCTTAAAAACTTCCAGTGTTGGAGCATTCACAGCTTCTGGAGGCAGGTTGTTCCACTGGTTAATTGTTCTAACTGTCAGGAAGTTTCTCCTTAGTTCTAGGTTGCTTCTCTCCTTGATTAGTTTTTTGTCCTGCCTTCAGGTGCCTTCAAAAATAGATTGACTCCCTCTTCTTTGTGGCAACTCCTGAGATACTAGAACACTGCTATCATATCACCCCAAGTCTTTCTTTTCATTAAACTAGAC